TTATAAATTTCACCCTACCCACAATATTTTGACCAAAAAATAAAAAACAAACATAATAACTTCAAATATAAATAAGTATCAAATATGATAATTTCTATAAAAATATATTATAAATGGCAATATAAAACAAAAGTACAAATAAACACACATTTTTTTATTATTATTAAACAACACAAAAAACATATTATTCTTACAAGAAAGGTAAAATAACATTTAATTCATTATTACTTCTAACAATCATGCATCAAATTATTTCGAACATCAATCTCACATAATTACCAACCACCTTCATAGTCCCCGCCATTGCCGTAGTTGTTTCCGCCACTTCCACTTGGCCTCGAGCTTTGATCATATGGCGTCTTTGAGGTTGACTCCACTCCAGATGGATGATCCATGCCAACATTGGGTACTAGCCGAGTGGCAACGGGCATTCCACTAGTCATATTCTTCACCAAGGATTTCACATCACTCCCAAAGGTGGTCACAACTCATCTCAACCAATTGAGTTGCTCGTAAGTGAGCCCCTCCATACCTAATGGAGGGCTTTGATCTTTGATCCAGCTTGTTGGCAGATTTGAGCCTTGATTTTACTTTGCCAGCTTTTGGAGGGATTTTGTCTCTGTGAAGACGAATTTGATCATTTGCTTTGGATTTGATGTCTTATTTGGACGATCTGAGGCTTTGATCTTTGTGGAGATGACTTTGGTACTCCAGTTTGGGTTTGCCGTACTTTGGAGGGCTTTGGTCTCCGTGCATGTGATTTGATCATCAGCTTTAGATTTGATGTCTTCTTTGGATGATCCACGGATTTGATCTTAGAGAAAGTGTGACGCGGGTGTCCAAGCTCAGAAAAATGATTATTGAAGATGGATGTGCTAGACTCTACAAGTTCTTTAATCTGACTCAAAGATCACCCTGCCAAGTCATCCCGAGGCCAGGATCACAAGAGCCGACACTTCAAGACTAAGACAACAAATAATTATGGAAGAATCTCAAAGTTACCTTATTATATATTACCTTTTATTATAAATTTCCATATAGTATAATTACATATCTAGAAATTTCCTTATTATTTGTTTCATTCTAGTTAGACTTACCTTTTGTTTGTTAAATTTATTATTTGCTTCATTTTATTTTTCTCAAGGACATCTATATAAGGTCCTTGCCTATCATTGTAGTAGAGCAAAGTGAATCTTGAATAAAATTTCTTTATTATTCCATCTCAATATTTGTTTAGTGATAGGATGTGATTTCCTCCCACTTAGATATGTCAAATCGGGTCTTTGGAGTGATTCCATTGGTTCGTGGCTTCCAATCCTTTGCAGCAGGATTTAGCCTATTATTTGTGTTTTAGCCTATGGATTGATTTTAGGTCCGAGACTTATTCTTGTGGTTGATTATCATCTATGTCAATTTGCATTCCTTGCACTATCTTTTCTTCTTCATTTTTTTTAATATATATTCTTAATCCATTTGTTCTATTGAACTTTGTGAGTAAAAAAATTACATTGGTTATAATTATACACGGTCGGGCCGTATCATCTAGTATCAGAGCCTTATGCTAAGGTTTTCTATCAATTTGAGACGTCCTTCGTTGATTTTGTTAAAAAAAGAAAAAGAAAAAAAATCAATTTGTGGTATTTGTTAACTGTTTCATTCTGTACAATATTTTCTTTGTCTACTTTGTTTTAGATTTTTCTTGTTATTGTCTTTGGGAAAATTGAGTCTTCTTGTAAGCCGTAGAGTCGAGGAATATCGTGTTCGGGTGTTCAAGAATACTTTTCAAGAAAAGGGGAATGACACGGGCGTCCAAGCTCAGAAAAATGATTATTGAAGATGGTTGTGCTAGACTCTACAATTCCTTTAATCTGACTCTAATGTCACCCTGCCGAGTCATCCCGAGGCCAGGATCACAAGAGCCGGGACTTCAGGACTAAGACAACAAATAATTATGGAAGAATCTCTAAGTTACCTTATTATACATTACCTTTTATTATAAGTTTCCATTTAGTATAATTCCATATCTAGAACTTTTTTATTATTTGTTTCCTTATAGTTAGACTTACCTTTTGTTTGTTTCCTTTATTATTTGTTGCATGTTATTTTCCTCAAGGATAGCTAATAAGGTCCTTGCCTATCATTGTAATAGAGCAGAGTGAATCTTGAATAAAATTTCTTTATTGTTCCCTTTCAATATTTTTCTAGTGATAGGATGTGATTTTTCCCACTTAGATATGTCAAATCGGGTCTTTGAAATGATTCCATCGGTTCGTGGCTTCCAATCCTTTGCAGTGAGATTTAGCTTATTGTTTGTGTTTTAGCCTATGGATTGATTTCAGGTCCGAGACTTATTCTCATGGTTGGTTATCATCTATATTGATTCACATTCTCTACACTATCCTTTTTTCTTTATCCTCTGATATCTTAAATTTGAAGATGCAGTTATGCATGTGTGATGTATATATTCACAGGGAATTTTCACTAGAAGGTTGAGATGTAGTGGATTATAAAAAATGATCAAATATAGTAAAAATTTGTGGTTGTAGACCCTGAGTAGTTATCATAATTATTTACACTCTTTAACTGGTGAGTTTCCAGGTCGAATACAAGGATTTTAAGTCATGAATGTAAATCAAGTACAGATCATATGAAAGTGGCGGAAAATACAGTAAAGGGACTCGCTCTGCAGCGGATCAAAATCTTAATCTACGAAAAATTGTAAAGAAAAGCGGTAAGGGGAGCGGTGGAAGTGGAACAAATGCGAGCGGGGGTGCCAGTGATGGTCGAGTGAGCGGGACATGAGCGGATGGCACAATGTATAGATATACAAAAAGACAACTAGAATGCACGAAAGTAATTTCTAGTATACTCCAATCGAAGTATATTTTACATACAGATATCTGGCCCTATTTATAGCAGGTAGAAGTAGTGGTTACAAGCAGTTACAAGGAAGTTTCAACCGCTACGCAGTTGATGAAGGTTATTCTGTTGAAGCAGTCATTAGCCATAACTCCTAGGGTGCTCACTTCGCTTGCACGGGTTTGTAAGGGCGGAGATCTTCCTCACTTGTTGGATGACTGGAGAACATCAGCGCAGTTAGGTGGGCTTGCTTGTTCTGGCTGGTAATGGAATTGTTGTACCACTGTAGTTGGGATACGATTTGCCGTCGCGCTGTTGTGGTGGGTGTCTAGAGTGTTGCTCGCGAGGGGTAGAGGCTGTCGCTTGTGAGCGGTGGAAGCTACCGCTTGCCTCTCTTGCCTTAGTTATTCTGGGCGATGGAGTCACCCCTTGCGAGCAGTGATGACTGTCGCTTGTGGAGTCTGCCTTAGCTTTCTAGCTCCGAAACACCGCTTGAAAGGGCAAAAGTTGTTAATAATCTCAATCAACCAACTCTGGATCATGCCAAGTGATATAGATCAATAAAGTATGCCATAAATCAGTTATTGTGATAGTTTTTATACAGAAATTCAAGTAATACGTAGTTTTGTCAAGCGAAGAATATGCTTATATTTAGAGTCATCAAACCTCCTCACACTAAACCTTTGTTCGTCCTCGAACAAACTAAGTTATGAGATCAAAGAGTTATTCTGTTCACTGCAGTCAAGAATTTCTTAAGATCAGTGCCATGATTGGGAACAAGGTGAATCTCGGATATAAACAATTGATCCTTAAGCATTGAAACTCGTCATTTGATCTAACATGAGTGTAGTTATCCCGGTATCATTTACTTTATTCACTTGGAAGATATTATTTTTGATTAAAGAAGCCTACTGCTGAAGGGTGCGGAGAATCCTTTTTTTTTTTTGGAATCAAGAGTTTCAAACAAACATTGTGTCTGCTCATGATTTTATTTCATTTTCGCGCACCTAGGCCTTTTCAGCTCCTTTGTAATGATAGGTCCTCAATGCTTTGCTTACATTGTGTCTTAAACCATATTTAAGGATTTATCTTTTCAAGTAATCTCTTGTGAACAAGTCGATACGCAGAAGTTCTTTTGCCCTACTGAGTATGGGAAGTATGAAACGAAGGGGGCACTAATCCTCATAAGTCCTATCCATTGTTACTTAGTTTAACGTCAATGTTCGCACTATTGAAAAGGGTCTAAGGACGATTACTCGGTCTGGTGTTTGTAAGTTATCTAACTTTACTTTAAAGCATATCACAAAGCTAACACAACAGTGTATCAAAAGTATCTCAAATAAAAACACATACTTCAGATTATGGTAGACATATAATAAAGATAAATTTCATTTGTTACCAAAAGTTATTGTATCGTTGATCATTTTTCCTTTGTACAGCCCCTGCCATTTTCAAAAATTATGTACACGGGAGAGGACCCTCTTCTATTTTCTTTTCTCGCTTGTGGGTCCTCGTCCCGGAGGTAAATTATTCGTCAGCTGCCACACTAGTTCTTCTATTCTTTGGAGACTCCGAGCTGTGTCGAGCTGTTGTTCAATGAGGATCGCGTTCTGCTAGGTGATGGCCGAGAGTGCCTTCAGAATCTCTGTTTAAGATGCACCCAGGCTTGCAGCTCGAGTCTCCAGCGCCTCCACACGTGCTTCTAGTGCGGCGCTTGTGTTTCTGCCAGTGGCCAGTCCCTCAGCAAAATTCCTTGCATGTGTGTCGATCAATGTTTGGGTCATTAGGTATTGGCTCAGTATGGCTTCATCGAGTTCATCCGGTCGTTTTTCTAAAGTATCAAGAGTAGCGTGGGAGGCTGATGTTCTTGCCTCCACGGGTGATGGTGACTGTCCCTCAGACTCAACCGAACTGATGTCCATTGGCTCATCCTTCTTTAAGGAATCGGGTGCTGGCTCGGGAGTAACATCCCTTAGGAATACAAGTTGCCTCGCTGCCTCATACTCCAAATGTTCCGCTTTCTTCCGCTCCAAGTACTTCCTAAATCGCAGCTGGAGTTGGGTAAGCGGCTTCCAGTATTTCAACAACTTGGCCAGCACCTTCATTTTCCTTTTCTTTTGTCGCTCACGCTGTCGCTTCTGTTATAATTGTTGCATTGCGGCGAGCAGCTGAGCTTGTTCCTCCCGAAATCTCTTTTCCTCTTCATCCTCCTCCTCATCGAAGATTGTTTTGTCAGATTTATCTGAGGCCAGAGTTAGAGTTTCTGCAGGTGTTCCAGTTACTATTGGTGTTTTGGGACTGTGTGGAGACGCCTGCGGAATGGGAAGATTTGTTATGACTGCCTCGACCCTTTCAGTTTCATTGGAAGCTTCAGCGGTTGTGGCAATAGGGACCTCGACGGAGTGTTCTTTGTAGGATTCTACTGTGACGTCAATCCCGCCGATGGTTTCTTCAGTGATAACAGTCTCCCGCTCCTCCTCTAGTCCAGTAGCAGTAGGCTCCACCGCTCCCGACTGGTTAACGGGGGTGGTTTCATTGCCTGGTCTAGCAGCAGTTGACTCACCTGCCCCATGCTAGTTGAAGGGGACAGTTTCATTGCCAAGTGAACTCAGCAGCTCGGGTGGCACCCTCTGTTGTTGGCCTTGCTAGTGAAGGTCGTTCGGGTTGAGCAGTGGGTTCTCGTATAGTGATTCCTTTCTTGATTCTGGAAAACGGGATCATGTCCTTATGTGCTTCTTCTTCCACCGCTTTACCCTTCCCCTTCTCCTGCTTTGTCGCTCGCCGAGGGGCTGTTGGATTTTTTCTTAGTGCCTCATTTATCCTCGGCTTCTTGACAGGCTCCGGAGCGGGGTCTTCCTTCCGCTTTGACCTCTTTTCACCAGCGGCTGCCCCTGGGGCCTTTCCTCCCTTATCCCTCATGGCCTTTTCTGCCCCGAATAGGTCCTCCTCTATCTCCCGAGCGAAGCAGAGGGACTCCTCATTCTCGTCGTTAGCGGGAGTTTCATTGGAGATGGTTCATTCAGAGTCGGGTTCTGCAGCAGCCTCTTCCGGGTCGGTTTCGGGTGCCACCTCTTCTCTTATTATTTCCTCCCGCACAACTTTCATTTTTCGTTTTAGTTGAGAGGGAGGTACAGTTGCTTGCGCCTTCCTCTTTTTCTGTCTGGGGATGAGGGTGAACCCCTTGGACTCCAGCCATGCTTTGTGGAAGACCGCTGGGAGCAACGGCCTTATCTGTTGTTCTGGAGTTGGAGTGGGCTGATTGACGCCCGTGCGTCGGCATAGTTCTGTAATCAGGGTCCCGTGACCCACCGTTCTTTTTACTTTTCTTCGCGCCCAGATGTCTATGCCAATAATCGCGCCCAAATCAACATCAGCTGTCTCCTCCAAAATTGAGCGCAAGGCAAGGAGAAAGTCAGGATGGATGTCTGTGGTGTGAGTGGTAATCATTATTCGGCTCAGTGACCACTTGACCTATTCCTTTTTCTCTTCGTCTACCGACCCGAACTTTAGGTTCCTCTTGTCATATTCTGGGGTGGTGGCAAAGGTCCTATACAACGTCTGCAGCTCAAGCGAGCTACAGTTCTCCATTTCCTGTAACCTGCTCTCTATCTCCTGGCTGGGATAGTGGTGTTTCCAGCCCAGGACCCAGTTGATCTTTCGTGCTGAACAATTTACCTATCTTCCTCTAACGTATACATTTCGTAGACTGTCAGCTTGGTTCAGATTTGCGTAAAACTCCCTCACCAATGACACTTTCACTGAGTCCATGGGGTTTTGGATCAACCAGGTTAGGCCCCATTCCCTCAGCCAATCGGCGAGCGGGCCTGAGATCTTCTCGGGGTCAAATCCTCTCTCATAGAGGATCCCTATTGTCTTCGCCTTCTCATATGCTGCTGCTGCCTCAATGTTAATAAAATGTACAGAGTTGAAATGTTTAGACCTCAACATGTCCTTGGCAGCATCGACAACGTTCTTTTTCGAGATCTTCTCGCTCCTGAAGACTTTCATCCTTTCCCCGATCTCTTGGCGAGCAAATTCTTCTTTCAACTCATTCAAATGAAAGTCCTTCTGCTTTGTTTCCTCAGTTTATTCAAATCTAAGGTAATCCTCCGGAAATTCTGAAATGAACTTTCTGAATGAAATGGACTTCAGTTCTCTGAGCTTCCCCCAGTCCTTTGTCAACTTTAGTAGCCTCCTCCTTCTGTAATAAGCCTCTAGCGGCACTTGTTCCACAGATTCAGCCCCCGAGGTTGTGGTTACTACTTTCCACCCGTCTGTAGATTTGATTCTTTGAATCCTCTTTTCGATTTTCACAATTTTCTCAAATTCCCTGTGCGACGCTTCTCACTTGCTTGGATCTATTTTGTTAGGTTGTTCTGAACCTAGGGTTTTCCATATTTATATTGTTTAATTTAAGAAATTTATGAATCTTGCCCTATTAGTTCTAAAATGCTAACAATATTCACATACAGGAAATCATATCCAAAATCTCAGTGATATGAACCCTAACTCCTCCCCCTCACAACGAAACAGAACACTCCAGTAAGTGTTTCGTTGCGAAACAGAGAGAAAATCACAGAACAACCAAACATACAAATTGTCGTAAAATTGATCCATACAAAGCAAGTATATAAGTTATTTCATCTAAATCTAGCAGATAACAGACTTAGATTCACATAAATCGAAGATAAAAAGTTTTGCAAAGTTGAAGAACAGACAATTTTTGCGAAAAGAATTTTTTTTTTTCATTATGTGTTATTGTGCGTCAAATCAGAGAAAATCAACCATGAAATCGAAGTTATTGACTAAGGTTAGTCTACGTCTTACCTTCTATTGAGCTAATTTTGGTTGAAGAATTGAGATTTTGGAATATTTCTGCGCGGAGAAATGGCAGTTACTGAAGCTTCTTGAGGAAGTCACTATAGGGTAAAAGTGGAAAATGACTGTGAATTGGAGTATTTATAGAGATAGTGGCGCTTATATGGAAGGGTGAGCAGAGCGATGACTAGTCCATTGTATATTAATATAAAGGTATAAGGGTGGGGTTTCGGGGCGGGTGAGTGGTAAAGCAATACTTCTAGGTACATATGTATGACACACAAGCGGTGATGGAAGCGGTACTGGGTGAGCGATACTGCTCGTCCAGTATGTATCAGAATGAGACAAGCGAAGCGGTGATTGGCTTGGGTCAGGCTTAGGTTAGAAGTTAAAATTCTAATTATTTTTCTAAAGAAACGAAGTGTTAAACTACTTCTAAAAAATGATAATCCTAGCTATAAAAGCTGTAAATTCTAACTACGAAAGCGGTAAAGGAAAACTGTAAATTCTAACTATGAAAGCGGTAACGAAAAGTTGTAAATTCGACGTTTTTAGGATAGGGCACTCTGGACATCATTTGTAAATTTGGCCCACTGCAAAATAGGCCCTTCAATATATGGTTTTAGTCTTGCTCCATTGACAAGGAAGGAATCGCTTTCCCTGGGGTTATCCACATTACAGATTCTTATGGCTCCACTTGGCAGAACTTGTCTGACGATATACGGCCCAGTCCACCGTGATCTCAATTTCCCTGGGAATAAGTGAAGCCTAGTATCATATAACAGAACCTTGGATCCCTCAGTAAATTCTTTCTTCTTCAACTTCCTATCTTGATAGAATTTCATCCTTTCCTTATAGAGTTTTGCGCTCTCATATGCAAGGTAACAGAACTCAGTCAGGTCGAGCAACCGTTCGGCGCGCTTCTCCTATGCGGGGAGAAGATCAAAGTTCAAATACTTGATAGCCCAATATACGCGATGCTCAAGTTCCAGAGATAAGTGGCAGGCTTTTCCATACATAAGCCTATATGGGGACATTTCTATTGGAGTTTTGAAGGCTGTTCTATATGCCCAAAATGCATCATCCAATTTTTCTGCCCAATTCTTACGAATGTTATTTACTGTGGTCTGGAGGATATGTTTGATCTCTCTATTTGAAAATTCCACTTGACCGCTTGCTTGTGGGTGATAGGGGGTAGTAAGATGTTGACAAACACCATATTGGTGAAGGCAAGTTTGCAACGCTTTGTTCACAAAATGGGTGACTTCATCACTTATTATAGTTTTGGGGACCCCGAACCTTGGGAATTAGTATATTTTAGGAAACGGGTCACAGATCGAACGTCATCTGTTGGGCGCTCTTGCGCTTCGACCAACTTGCTCACGTAATCCACTGCCACCAGAATGTATAATTTCCCATTTGAGTTTGGAAAGGGGCCCATAAAATTCATCCCCCATACATCAAAAGTATCCACAAACAAAACTCCAGTTTGGGGCATCTCATCTCTCTTTGAGATAGAGCCTAACCTTTGACACTTGTTGCAAGATTTGGCAAAGGCATCAGCATCTTTCTGTAGGGTAGGCCAAAAGAAGCTTGACTGCAAGAATTTGGCCGCTGTGCGCAGGCCAGCAAAATGCCCTCCTACATGGGACCCACGACATTCATTCAAGATCAGTGGGATCTCAGATTCTGCTACACAGCAGCGGATTATCCCATCTGAGCCGACGTTAAACAAATAGGGTTCATTCCAAAAATAGTCATTTGCTAAACTGAGCAATCTCTTCTTTTCCCTTTGTACTGTATACGCGGGAAACTGCCCTGTAGTTAAAAAATTTGCCAGGTCAGCAAACCATGGCTCCTTTGCTTGAACCATGAACAACTTCTCGTCTGGGAATAATTCATTGATTCCGGGAGATATGTCCTCTATCTGCCTTAATCTGCTGAGGTGGTCTGCAACATGATTTTCCTTTCCATTTTTGTCCTTGATCTCTATATCAAATTCTTGAAAAAACAACACCCATTTGATCAAGCGGGTCTTTGTCTCCTTCTTCTCCATCAAATATTTGATTGCTGCATTATCTGTATGAACGACGATCTTGCTTCCGATGAGGTATTGCCTAAATTTCTCGAAGGCAAAGACAATAGCTAACAGCTCATTCTCGGTTGTAGTGTAACTCTTATGAACAGAATCCAACGATTTACTTGCATAGTAAATAACATTCAGTTTGGATTTCACTCTTTGTCCTAATACAGCGCCGACGACATAGTCACTTGCATCCGTCATTAACTTGAATGGCTCGCTCCACACTGGTGCAGAAATGATAGGAGCGGTGGTTAGCTTTTCCTTTAGAATGAGGAAAGTCTCCTCACACTCGCTTGACCAATCAAAGTGAGCATCCTTACACAATAGTGGAGTGAGCGGTTGCGTGATTTGATTGAAGCCCTTGATGAAGCGACGGTAAATCCCCACGTGTCCAAGAAAACTTCGTACTCCCTTCTCATCCGAGGGCGCTGGCATCTTTCCAATTACACTAATTTTTGATCTATCTACCTCTATTCCGGCAACTAAGATCTTATGGCCTAAGACAATTCCTTCATTCACCATTAAATGACACTTCTCCCAGTTTAGCATGAGGTCAGTCTCTATGCAGCGGAGAAGTATTTTTTCCAGGTTATTCAGGCATTTGGAAAATGTCTTGCCATAATCCGAGAAGTCATCCATAAACACTTCTATGCAGGAGTCCAGGAGATCACTAAATATATGGTACATGCATCGCTGGAAGGTAGCCGGAGCGTTACAAAGCCCAAACGGCATCATCCTATAAGCGAACGTACTATAAGGACAGACAAACATGGTCTTCTCACAGTCGTCCGGTTTGATGGGAATCTGATGGTAGCCTGAGTAGCCATCGAGGAAACAGTAGTATTCACGTCCTGCGAGCTTCTCCAGTATTGATGAAGGAACGGAAACGGAAAATGATCCTTCTTTGTTACAACATTCAACCTTCTGTAATTGATGCATTCCCTCCATCCAGTGTCAGGTCTTGTCATAAAAACCTCCCCCTTGTCATTTGTCTGCTCGACGAAGCCTCCTTTCTTGG